TTGAGGGGCCTGTTAGACAATGTCCTAGTCTGACATGGAAAGGACATGGGACATTCCTTCCTATTTTTCCTTAGTAAGATTTTGACTTTTGTTCTCAATTGTTTATGGCAAGGACCACTTTATTTAATACTTGAGTAGGTATATTATTTTCCTAGACCTGTCATAGCAAAATATCACAGACTGAGTGCTCCCCCACAGAAATCCATTTTCTCACAGTCTGAAGGCTGGAAGCCCAAGGCCAAGGAGCCAGCAGGACTGGGCTTCTCTGAGGTTTCTCTCCTGGGTGTGCAGATGGCCTTGCCTCTGGTCTCTCTCTGTATGTCCTACTCTGTTAATTTTATAAGGGCACCAGTCCGATTGATTAGGGCCTACCCTAATGGCCTTGTTTTAAATTAATTATTGCTTCAAAGATTTTATTGTCAAATGCAGTTACATTTTTAGGTACTGGGGATAGGATTTTAGCATATAAATTTTGGAGGAAACGAGTCCATAGCACTAAGTATACATATATTTTTGTACATTAAAAATGTTTAAATTCTATATTCACCAACTCTGGTAATTAGTTACCTGCTTTATGCACACACAAAATGTCATGTAACATGTTATTCAATTAATTCAATTATAGATTATATCAATTACAGATTATCATAAGAATTTGTCTTCTTTTGTTGTTGTGCTTACTTTTCTCATGAATTTTTAAGTTAATTTCCACTAGGTAAAACTTTAAATTTTTAGACCTAAGAAATATTGTTTTAGAAATTGTTAATAGTTACTTATATTTATGTAATAACTTTATCATTTTCAAAATACTTTCAATATGATTTAAATTTTCACCAATATTTATATTGAAATTATTTTGTAGATATGAGTGGAAAAATAACCTTTGCTTTTGGCAATTAAGAAATTCTGAGTGACCATTATAAGAGCCATTTCAAGAGAACAGTAAGGATGAAATCTGAGTGACTTTTGGTTGCAGAATGCATAAAAGCTAACTAGAGAACATAATAATGAGAATATATTTAAAGCTATTCTAGTAACAATGAAGTAATAAAGGTCTTACTACAAAAAACTTAGAAATTATTTTGTAATATAATGTCATAAAACAATTATTGCTATCTTCAGCAATTTTCGATGAACTTTGTTATATATCAGAAAATGAAAATGAAATGCTAAATCTGTTTTCCAGAAAAATTCACCTCTCTCCTAAAATGTTCAAATTTTTTTAGCCAAATTTATCTATCTATCATCTATCTATCATCTATCTATCTATCTATCTATCTATCTATCTATCTATCATCTATTTATCAGCTTACTTGAACTCTAATTGCCTTAATTTTCCAATCTTAATAAAGATTTCATTAAGATCAGACAGAAACTTCAAATATAAGAAACTAAACCAATTCCTACAATTACTAAGTGTTTGCTAATTATCAGGCTATTTAGTGAGACCTTGCTCCTTCAAGCTTGGATAGTTGTTATGATACTGAGTTGAAAGAAGGTGTAAATGCTGTCAAACAGATCTTTTGTCTGGAATTACAAGTGCATACACTAAACCAACTGCATGCCTAGCATGAGGGATGGGTCATTGAACATACTCTGTCACATTATCTGAATCCAAGATATGTACAATGACATTGGAAACAGTGGTTTCTGTGCTGCAGCTGATATAATAATACAAAAAGATTACCAAACCAAACAAGGCTTACAGTTACAGATTTCTGGAGACAGAGAAATAGTTCATATTTTTAAAAATTCTTCTAGCTGCCCTAGCTGGTTTGGCACAGTGGATAGAATGCCGTCCTTTGGACAAAGAGTCCTGGATTAGATTCTGGTGAATGGCACATACCTTGGTTGCAGGCTCCGCCTCAGCCCTGGCCCTGGCCAGGGCCTGTTCAGGAGGAACCAATAAATGTGTTTCTCTCACATGGATGTTTCTCTCTGTCTTTCCCGCTCTCTTCCACTCTCTTTAAAAGTCAATGGAAAAATATCCTTGGGTGAAGATGAAAAATAAATAAATAAATAAATAAATAAATAAATAAATAAATAAATACTAAACATTCTGGTTGCTGAACTGGTTGAGAAAAAAGTTTCATGTGGTGAGTGAATCGTTTAAATGCTTATACTTCCGTAAGGACTGTGTAATTTAGGAATGAAACTGTAATCACTTGTTTGAAAATTTGTTTCCAATTAATACAATATCCACTTTCTGTTTGTCCATATAAAGCATGGTAAACATTCCCACAAAGTCAATGTTCTCTCTGTTTTGCTTTGACAATATACCATTATAAATAATAACTAGAGGCCCGGTCCATGAAAATTCATGCACTGGAGGGGGGTGTCTCTCTGCCCGGCCTGCCCCCTCTCACTGTCCGGGAGCCTTCAGGGGTGGGAGGCAACCCGGTGATCAGGGGAAGGCGACGCCCCATCACACCTCTGTTGCTGCCACTGCCAGCAGCTCAAGTCTCGGCCGGCCCTGGTTACCTGTGCCTCGGGCGGCTCTGGGCGGCTGGGGGCTGAGGGGACTGGAGAACTCCGGAGGCAGGTGCACGCAGAGCAGCCGGGCCGCCTTGGAGCAGGCTTGACCTTGCTGTGCACCTGCTGCCCTGGCAAGGCTGAGGGGACTGGGCACCGCCATCTTGAGGCTGTGGGTGCTGCCATCTTTGAGGGTAGGGCAGTCCATTAACATATTCCCTCTTTATTAGATAGGATGATTGCACATGCATCTCCATTAGTCTTTCTTTTGAGAAAATAACAACTGAAGCAGCATGTTACTAAGGAATTCTTTTGAAGCATAGAGTTGGAGAAGTGTTTAGGTTCAGACTGAAGAAGGAAATACCTCTTAGTCAATGAATCATAGATTCATAGTGAGTGCAAACAAGGATGCATCAAAGTATATTTTCCATACGTAAAAATAAGACTCATAAAATTTAGAAATGAATACAAATCAAAAATGTATTTATTTAAGGCATTATTGAAGGAACCAGCCCAATATTGCTGCTCTAAGAGCATTAGTAGAATAAAATACTTATAGGTATTTTAAAGGAAAAGAATCTATATACATAAAAAGCCAGCGACCGGAACACTGTAACAACCGTAATAACCATAATGACCGGTTGCTATAATGCCCACTGTGGCCAGCGAACCAGCCTGGTCGGGGGTGGGGCCAGCCGGCCAACTTCCCCTGGCCCCTCCCCCCAGCTGGCCCTGCCCCCGATGGGTCCCCACCACCCCAATTGGCCCATAGCCTCTCCCCCAGCCAGTTCCACCCCTGATCGGCCCCCCCAGTCTAATCAGGGTCAGGGCTGGCTGGCCAATCGCCCGTGGCCCTCCCCACAGCTGGCCCCCACTCTCAATCAGCCCCCACCACCCCAATTGGCCCGTGGCTCCTTCCCCCAGCTGGCCCAGTCCTGATCGGCCTGATCAGGGTGGGCTGGTCAGCCAACCTCCCGCCATCTCCTCCTCCCCACAGGCCTGGCCCCAATCTGCCCAGACTTGGGCCAGGCTGGCTGGACCCCACCTGTGCACAAATTCGTGCACTGGGCCACTAGTTTTTAAATAAGATTTATAGTTTAGATTTAAAAATGGTTAATGGTTTGGGTAATAAAACCATGACCTTTGGGATTATCTTTTTTTTTTTACCAGAAAAATCTAATTAGCATGAAATTTCACAATCTGATCAAACAGAAAATATTCAAATCAAACATGTTTTTTTTAAAATATATTTTCATTGATTTTTTACAGAGAGGAAGGGAGAGAGATAGAGAGCTAGAAACATCGATGAGAGAGAAACATCGATCAGCTGCCTCCTGCACACCCCCTACTGGGGATGTGCCCACAACCAAGGTACATGCCCTTGACCGGAATCGAACCTGGGACCCTTCAGTCCACAGGCCGACGCTCTATCCACTGAGCCAAACCAACCAGGGCCAAACATGTTTTTTTAAGAGTTGCACAATCTATAGCAGCCACTAGCAACATACATTTTTTAATATTTAAATTTGAATTAATTAAAATGAAATACAGTAAAGATTAAGTGTCCCAGTTATATTAGCCACATTTTAAATGCTCACTAGACACATGTGGCTAGTGACTCCGCAAATACTACTGAACATCATTCTTCTAGAGAATTAATTAATATTTGAGCAGGCCTGTTTCACAATGCCTACACATGCGTTGAAAGAACATTCCACCCCTCCTTTTGCTTTACTTCCAAGTTTTGGAAACATTTTGTAAACAAAGGATCTTATAGATCTCCTCTTCCATCTTCTCCATCCTTCCTTTTTGTAACAGAAAAGGATCTGAAAGTAAGGATTTACTTTAAGTTCACAAAAAATGTTCACCTTTCTTACTACTAAAGAATTTAGCTGCGCCATTGAGCCAGTTATGACAATTGTGTTGAATGAACTATTTTGGGCAAATGCAAAAACTAGTAAAATTTTATTGTAATACCTATATTTTAGGATTCACAAACTCTTCATCCATTTGGGTCTAGGTCAGTGATGGCGAACCTTTTGAGCTCAGCGTGTCAGCATTTTGAAAAACCCTAACTTAACTCTGGTGCCGTGTCACATATAGAAATATTTTGATATTTGCAACCATAGTAAAACACTTATATTTTTGATATTTATTTTTATATATTTAAATGCCATTTAACAATGAAAAATCAACCAAAAAAATGAGTTCGCGTGTCACCCCTGACACGCGTGTCATAGGTTCGCCATCACTGGTCTAGGTCATACTCAGTCTTTAGATAGCAAGAAGAATGTTATCAAGAAACTGTTTTGTTTTGTTGTTGTTGTTGTTTGTTTGTTTTTCTTTTTTAAAGAATACTTAAATCACTTATTTTGGCATAACAACAAATTTTTCTTTGCAGTTTTTTTTTTTTATCATAAAACAATCTATACTCCCAAAATGTCCTCTGTGATGGTTTGGGCAGACCTATGGCTCATGATACTTGATTTGCACCTGTGATTCAATGATTTTGTGTGTGTGTTTTTCAGATGTGGAGCACATGGCGATTGACTGGCTCACCAGAAATCTCTACTTTGTGGACCATGTCAGTGACCGGATCTTTGTTTGCAATTACAACGGGTCTGTGTGTGTCACCCTGATTGATCTGGAGCTTCATAATCCGAAGGCAATAGCCGTAGATCCGATAGCAGGGTAAGACATTCTTGGTTTTAGTGTTAGATCTGAAATAATTTCTATTTTAAAAAAAGATCAGAGTCTGATGACAGTTGTGGAATATAAGACTACAGGCTCAATATTTTTTTAAATGTTGATTTTTAACAACTGCATTAAAGGAAGAAAGAAAAGGGTGTCATGTACCATGCAGATGCTGAGAAACAAACATTTGCACATTTTTATTGACTTTCTAATTTAACAAGCCATTTTCTTGGTTAAAAAGAGATCTTACCTGAGCTCCTTTTAGCTAAAGGCTCATTAATCTTTTCTAATAGTTAATAATTTATCAAAATTAGTCATAAATGTTTAAATCCCCATCAACTTTTTATTTGATTAGAAAGTCAATACATGGATTTTACTTAAATTTTACAAATGCTATTATTCCAGGGGGAGGGGCAAAAAAGTAGAGTCATCAATTCAGGTCTGTCATGATCAGTATTAGTCAGGGATACTGTCAGATTGATGACATAGTGTACAACTTTTCTTGGAGGATCTGTTGTTTTCTCAGATGTAAGTTGTAGCAAAGATGTGAAAACTGAATTTTATCCTTATTGCTTGAATCATCCCCAGGCAGTTCAGGCTGAAATGTCTGATGGAACATATCCTAGACTGCCATAAGCCTCCGTTCAATAAATGGGAAAATATTTACTGAAGAAACAGCTGTCATCCATATGTGGACTTTTGTCACTCTTTACTTAAAGTCTGATTGACTATTAAGATGCATCATCACAATGGTTCTGATTTTGACAAGAACAGCTTGCACGTAAGAACTTAGCTAGGAAGGCTGTGTAATATAATTCTTGAATGTAGCTCTATTTGTATTTGCAGCAGATGGTTCCTTGACTCAATCTGACTGCAGTGATGCTTCAAGAGGCATTAGTAAAAGAAGTTGTATTTAAACTGATTTGTTTGCGTTGTTGGATAAGTGTAGTAAGAAAAAATTGGAAATTTACAAATGTGCTAGCAACATCCTTTCGGCATTCTGTTGAGAAATACATTTGCTTGCGTGTTTTTTCCCTGCATGTGCTAACTGAATTTCAAATTAGCCTTTAGACAACCTTGTCTGTCAAAAATGTTAGAAGGTGAAACTATTGTATTTCTCCCCTCATTCTACCTCTCTTAGCCTTCCCATTCTTGTAAGCAAAGATCCAGAGACGCTTTTCAAATAAAATGGCCCATCTAAAATATATAGGGACACCATTTCCATTTCTATGCAACAAGGTAGTCTATGTTCTCAAGCTTCCTATTTCTCCCTGTCATTACATGAAAGAACCATATTTTGTCATTTTTGTCAAAGGAATTAGGGATAGAAAACCCCACATTGTTTGCATTTGTCCTAGGCTGGATTCCTTTATGCCTCTAGTCACTGTCTAAATGTAACTTTGTCATGTGTCATTTATCATAATAAGTTCTTTGAAATTTTTTGTTTGCGTTTGCTCCGTATCTCTAGCACCGTTTTTCAACAATGAGTCATAGAAATCAGAGCAGGAAAAGCTCTGCTCTTTTACAAATATAAACCTAGATGTAATAGAACACTTTCAAATGTATTCTACTTTTCTTTTAATATCAGATATTTGGCTAGGATTCGTGTGATGCTGTCTAGGGAAGGAGAAGTAGGTGTTTTCCGTTAGCTTTAACTTTGGGGCTTGCTTGAGAGTAATTTGAATAGTTGAGACAAGGACTCCACTGCATGGCCCACTAGAGGAGGGATATGCAAGCTATCTTTTCTCCCACCTTTTCCTAATTGTATGGGGTGATATGTCTTTGCTTTTTTGGTTATGACTTCAGTTGGGAAACATGAGAATGTATTAAAAGTTGACCTGACTGTTAAGAGCTTGCCCTTAATAATGATGGAAATAGAAAAAGATTTGACTTACCTCCCTAAAGGCTGCATTGAAAAAATATATTTCATTTGGCTACATATTTAACTTCACTGTCTCAACCTCCTATTCCATTTTTATCAAAGGCCTCTCATAGTATTATTGTTATTCCCTCCATGAAATTTTTAAAAAATTGATCTTCATTGTTTGAATATAGATTACTAATTCTGGAGATGCTTCTTAAAATTTTTCTTTTACCTTTAAAATTTTGGTAATATATTTTCTTAAAGAAATTTCCATTAGATTGGAAGGGGGCATGGAGATCATAGTCCAACCAACATCAAAACTACCATTTCTGGTGGCTGCTATTTGTCTCTGCGTGTTTAATGATGTAGAGCTTGAGTCACTTTCCCTTTTGATCAAATTCTGGCTGCACCAAGACTAGTTGTGTGATATTAGATGCTTCTTTGTACCTTTTTTCTTACCTTAAAAATAATGAATAATACCCTGATTGGTGTGGCTCAGTTGGTTGAGTGTCATTCCATGCACCAAAAGGTCACAGGTTCCATTCCCAGTCAGGGCACATGCCTGGGTTGAGGGCCTGATCTTCAGTAGGGGTGTGCAGGAGGCAACCAATTGATGTTTCTCTCTCTCTATATATACCTTGCTCTCTATCTAAAATCAATAAAAACATATTTTAAAAATTGTTGAATAATATTAATCCTACCCTAACACTTTCTGAGCTGTAGAATATATGAATTTCTTTTACATGTTGCCTCAAAAATAACTACTAATGTGTCCAACATTTATGATACCATTATGTATACTACACACCCTCCCTAAAATAGTTTATTTTATATAGACTAAAATATTATATAAGAAAGTACTGAGAAAGAGGTGTAGACATGAGAAATAAAAGTGATATAGCCTGGGAATAAATATGAAGTATATGTAGAAAGGTGTAGATTGTACAGAGTAACTGTGGTATAGGGACGGTAGCAGAGGCAACATTACTTTAATAATTGTGCAAGGTGTATTTAAATTAACTTTAAGGTCTTTCAAAAGAATAAAATCCTTTTCTAGTTTTCTTTGCCATTTAACCTGTGTTTTTAAATATAACATTGTTTCAATAGTAAACCATATAGTATTTGGGCCTAATGAGAATTATAACTAAGGGCAGGAGTGAGCTAGTTTATAATTTTGTTTCTAAGGGATGGCCCTGAACTTCCTATTAAAATCATCACACTGCCCAGCTGGCACGGCTCAGTAGTTGAGCAGCTATGAACAAGGAGGTAGCGGTTCGATTCCCGGTCAGGGCACGTGCCCAGTGTTGTGGGCTCAATCACCAGTGTGGAGCATGCAGGAGGCAGCCGATCAATGATTCTCTCTCGTAATTGATGTTTCTATCTCTCTCCTTTCCTCTCTGAAATAAATAAAAATATATTTTAAAAAATAATAAAATAATAATAAAATAAAATCATCACACTAAATTGGAAACAAGAATTCATTTCACCATGAATGTCAAAATTGTTTCAACAATACTGAAAAAAAGGGGGATCAATTAATCCTAACCATGATAATTATTAGAAAAATTGTATAAATTTAAAGAGATATTTTAACGATAGTACTGAAGTTGGAATTGAAAATTTGGAAAAATATATTTTGAAGACTTAGGGTACCATGGATAGATCCAAAATCTAGTCTTGAGATGGCTAAGTTGAGGGAGAGGGAAAATCTCTTATGTCATGTGAAACAGCAGAAATTGAAAATTTTCCAAGTTCAGTGTATAACCTCTTTCTATGGAGAATGGACTTTTGACTTGTAGAGAGTGATCTGTGGAATTTATTTGTGAATCCATGACCCCATGTTAGTATTGAGGGGAAAGTATGTTGTTTTTGTTCTCTGCATGAGCAGGCCATCTGCCAGAAGGCAGAGGAGTAAAGCTCAAGTCTCAGAAGTTGAATTCACGTGGAAGTGATTGGCAGTATTTAATAGTTAATACGCCCTTTCCCATCACTCCCCTGGATCCTCACTGTTGGTGAAACTAATCATGGCTGAGGAATTAAAGATAGAATCAAAGTTAACAGCCATCAGGGAGCAGGGCTGACTAATGAGATTCTAATCTGAGATGCTGTGTGAATGTAGGAAACTAGAAAATAAAGCAGGTTTGCCAATGTACACAAAAGGAGTTTTATAACAAGGAGACCCTTGGGATAAACATCAGGTTTCTCCCTCTGTTAGGGAGCTCCTAGAGCCAGCCCAGGTTCCCAGTTAGAGCCTGCACTCACTATTCACTTGCAATAGGACATATAACTAGGATTGTTACAGTCCATTGACTATTAAACCCCTCGGCTATACTGTGGACAAATTAAAACTACAGATTGCAACCCCCACAATTAACCACTACCTATTGCTTTGAGAATAGATGGGTCTGAAGTTGGTATGGCTTTGGACATGAGTAAGCATGTAAAGAAGTGCCTCTACATACTCTTTTTCTCCTCATAGAAGTATCAGTCTTGAAAAGTCTCATGCTCATCTGCAATTTGTGACTGTCCCTAATCTTTTGAAATTCACATTTACATTTTCATAGGTTGCAAATTGTTAGTCCTAACTTTTTAAGGCAGAACTACCCTACACACAGGTACACATTTATATTTCTACTAGAGGCCCTGTGCACAAAATTTGTGCATGGTGGGGGGTCCTCTCAGCCCAGCCTGCACCCTCTCCAATCCGGGATCCCTCGGGAGATGACCCGGGATTGGGCCTAAATCGGCAGTCGGACATCCCTCTCACAATCCTGGACCGCTGGCTCCTAATCACTCACCTGCCTGGTCACCCCTAACTGCCCCCACCCTGCCAACCTGATTGCCCCTCCCTGTCCCCCCCACCAGTCTGGTCACCTACAACTGCCCCCCCTTTGGCCTAGTTACCTCTCAGTGCCCCCCCTGCCAGCCTAATCGCCCCCAATTGCCCCCCCGCCAGCCTGGTCACCTCCAACTGCCCCCCTGCCGGCCTAGTTTCCCCTCTCACTGCCCCTCCTGCCAGCCTAATCGCCCCCAAATGCTCCCCCACCAGCCTGGTCGCCCCATGCAGCCTGCTTGTTCAGTCGTTTGTTCATCCCTCACTAACCCCTCTGCCAGCCTGGCCATAGGCAGCCAT